TTAGTTATTCTTCTCTGGAGTTCACTTGCTCAAGCGAGCGTTTTTTCGCTTGAGCGAAAATAGGCAATTTTCACTTTAGCGAAAGTTGTCACTTTAGCAAAAGACGCGAAACCTAAAAGCCTAATTTTTCCTATAAAAAAAGAAGATGTGTTTTGAGAAAAGAAGCGGTTTTGGAGGAGAAGAGACGCGACTACTGCTAGATTTTCGTCCAATCTCCATCAATTCTTCACTTCTTCCTCATTTGGAGCATTGTAATGGCTAACATGAGTGGCTAACTTCATTCTCTTGGGATTGGGTGCACTTCCTTTGAACTCTTTTGTATCATAGTGATATTTTGAGATATTAATCTATGTTTTTATGTTGTTATTCTTATCCTTTGTGCTTTGGAATGATTTATTCTTGATGTTTGGGATATGATTGAAAAATATATCTTGAATCCTAGATCACGGTAATAATAATTGTTACGTTAATTTCTAGGAATGGAATGAATGTATCAATTGCTTAACACCCTAAACCTAATGCTGGAAAATCTCTTAATTGTGTGAGGAATCAATATTTATTAGGTTTTCTTATGAATTTCATGTGTGAGGAATCAACATGGATGATTTGAGTAGGTGGCATCAACATTGTTAGGTTAATTGATGTTCTTAATTGACATAGTCATTACAAAAGAGGGATAAGGAAGGAAATCAATCCTAAGTGTTTTTAATTGATATTTTCTCAATAATTTACAGTTCTTTATCGTTTAATTTCAATTCAACTCTTATTGCAAAACTCAATCTGTTTTAATCCACTTAGTAAGCATAATTGAGAATTTTCATTGAAATTGTTCCTCGTGGGATCGACTTTTATTTAATCGAAATATTATACTGTGATTGATAATTTTGGTATGCTTGCCAATAATTCAACATATTTACGATAAATAAACTCAAATTTAATCACTTTTCAATTGATATTTATTCATTTCAATCCAAAGATCCAACTTCTATCTACAATATCATCAAATCTTTATAAATAAATATTATTCTTCAATAAATTTTAAAAATAATAAAATAAGATAAATATACATTAATAAAAAAAGACTAGTACGTAATTGGATATAATATATAATAGTAATGTTGCATAAATAAATATAGAATATGACTAGTACATAACTAAAGATAAATATAATATATTCAGTAGAGATAATAAATAAATAAATATAAAAGAAAATTAGTGCAAAACTGAAGATAAATAAAACACGACTATTGCATAACTAGAGATAAGTAAATATTTAAGAGGACCAATACAAAACTGAAGATAAATAAAACATGACCGAGTGTATTATAAAAATTATAATATAAAAATTATAAATTTTATATTATTATAGTTTTATTATAATATTATAATTATAATATAAAAATTATTTTAAAAATATAGTTAACTATTTTTATATTTATCAACAAAATTAGATCAATATTAAAATTATTTCTAAATTTTAAAATGTTTATGTTAATATAAAATATATTTAAGGATTTATTTATTTAAAATATGTATTTTATTTAGATTTATACTAAATTATATTATTATTTAAAATAAATCTTTAAATCTATTTTAAAGTATAATTTTTAAAAATTTTAATTATTTTTTTATTTTAAGTTATTTGTGAAGAAATAAAAAATAAAAGAAAAAAATAAAGTGCATATAATAATAAAATAGAAATAAAAAAGGAGAAAAATACAATAAAAGCTCTAATTATAAATAGGTATATAAATGTGATATGTTAGATAAATATACATATTAAAATTATTCTTAATTCATGTTTAATTAGTTTACTGCATGCTGTAAAATGTCCAATGAGAAATTTTGTTGAGCGTGCTGTGGTGGAAATTCTATTCCATGGAAATTATGTCACATCATAGTTTTTTGGGGTCACCAACATTATTACTCCCACTTTCATTTAATCATTAAATTTTATTACTTTTAATATTCTTTTTAAAATATTACTTTTGTAAAATAAAAAATACGCATTATGATTATTTAATTAAAGATGAAATACAAATTAAAGTTAAAATATTTTAAAAAATCTCATTAAATAAAATAAAAGTAGTTAAGTTTATTAGAAGAAAGTGTAGTTTTTATTTATAAATAAAAAAATTATTTTGCAACTTTAGAAACGTGAGACGTGTCGTTGACTCGAGACTATTGACTGAGGTCTTCTAAAGACCAAATGTGGAAGAGTGACTATAAACATGGAGATGCACTAATATAAGTTTTTTCCAACTTTATTATACATCAATTGAATAATATTTTTATGATAATCTTAAAATAATAGAACTCATATCAAATCCTATTTTCACTATAAATTCTTAAATTGTTTCATAGACACTTAGTTTTATATTTTTATTATTGTTTTTGAATTGATTTGAGATAAAAGAAATTATTTTTTTAAAAGATAATACTTATGTATAATAAATATAATGTTTTTTCGTATTTTATATCTCACGAAATATATTAAATTTAAATTATATTTATTTTATTATGTTTTTATTTTATTTTATTTTTATGATTATATTAATTTTTTGTTATTATAATTGTTTTCTTTTATTTATAAAACAATTATTATTAATAAATTTATTATATATTTATTATATTATTATATAATAAAAATATTATTTTATTAAATCACTATTACATTCTAATTAAATTTTAATTCTTAAATTTGTGATTTCGCTAGTTTAATAAAGAGTCCAATTTTAGAAATATTAATTTTTACATATAAACTTAATAATTTATTTAGATATTTGAATTTAAATAATATTTCGCAATCTAAAATATTATAAAAGAAAATATAATTAAAAGAAAATTGTACACCTTCTAAAATTATACTAAGTGTCACACCATCTCTACTTTAAAATAAACATGTATCTTCCTTATCTTTCTAATAAATGATATTCATCTCCTTTATATTTTAATAAAATTATATTTATTTTATTTGAAAAATATTTTGACTATTTGAATAATAATTACTATATATTAAAAATATCACAAACTTATATTATAACTAAACTATAAATTATCTTATAAAAATATGAAAAATTATATTTTTGAGGAAACATCGATTTTATTTTGAAACCATCCTATTTTTTTGTTTATAAAAAAATGTTTATATTTATAAAAAAATTGAATGATTTTATAATTTAAAACTTTAATGTTAAATTTCGCAATTTTTTTACTATAATTTTTTATGAATTATTATTTTTTAAATAAAATAAGAGAATTGAATGTTTTGATTGATATTTTTTTATTAAAAACGTAACATATATTTATTTTGAAACTTCTTATGGTAGAAGTGTTAAGTAACATAATATCATTTTTCCTAATTATAAACAGTAGATACACATAAGCTTAAATAATATTTTGATAAAGAAAAATAATATAATAAATGCATAATATGTCATGAAAAAAATATTACTACGAATTTAATAATTAAAAAAATAGAGATAAAAATTGATTGTAAAATAAATAAAATTTGATAACATATAATATTCTGACAAATATCTCTTAAAAAGATATAATATTACTACTGATTTTATAATTTCAATAAAATCAGGAGATAAAAAATGATAATCTAAAACTAAAATTTGATCAAATATAATATTCAAGCAAGAGAAAAGTATCTTTTATATTATGATCTGGTTAAACATAGAAAACAAATTTTTTAAACAATTTAATAAGAGGCAGAAAATAATATATTAATGTGTGATCAAGTATGTGGTGACAAAATATAAATACGGTCAAAATAATCACACAAAAGTTATAAAACTATGATAAAAATAAGTTTAATATTTCATTTATCCAATATTTTTATTTTTTACCTTCATCTTTCTCTTTCTTATCTGATGAAATTCTATTTTAATTAATACAAAAATATTATATTTTACAAGATTAAATTAGATATTTTTTTTTAATTTAATTTAACTTTTTTAATTTATACATATTTTTTAACTTGTTATGTCAAAAATGAATTGACACCCAATTATAATAAAGCTGATAATATTTAGATTTTTCAAATTCCATTGACCTGTTCAAAACATTATACATGGAGTTAGTGGCTTGGGATATGATTGAGAAGAAAATAAGTCCACCCTATTAACACCAAAACATTATGATAAAAAAAATTAAGGAAACAAGAGTCAAATTCAATCATACCTCACTCGTCTCCCCTGGAAGAAAAAAAAAAAAAAAACAACAACACGCATACATGCAAGGAAAACTGATAGACTATCAAATACATTAAATGGTTAAAAGGATTTCATAAAAGATATTTGAAATATTACAAAATTATTTAATTTATATTTTCATTTCTTAAAGGAAGATACTAATATTTGTAGAGTCATCATTTATTTGATAATATTTCTTACAGTATGTAAGTATACTCCTCTTTGTCTATTACAAATAAAATAAATACCAATCTTTGTTATTAATGGTAGATTTTAGAATTTTTCTAGTAGATAATAAATAAATAAATAAATACATTTGTTTAATTTAAAAAAATATCAAGAACCTCTACAAATGTCATCTCTTACTGCATAAAATAAAATATAAACCAAATAATATTATAATATTTAAACAGTATTTTATAAGCATTAATTAGAAATATAAAGTTATGAGTGTAAAAATCAAATCTTGACTCATGGTGAAAGGAGTCAACACTCACCAAGCCAAGAAGTCACTATCATAGAGTCACACCTACCCAACTCCACCCGCCACAAACCCTAGTAAACTCATTTACTTAGAAGCCTAAGACAGTCTATACAATGCCGTCCATAACCTTCAAGATTCGCACTACTGCCACGTATTAGTTCCACATCACAATGGACAAACAAACCATTCTTACCTCATCTATTTATTTCCTCTCCTTAGCCTCTCTTCTGCACCTCAATTGAAACATATAAAACCTGCAGTAACCACGTATCCATCGAAAACCCTAACAAACTAAGCTCAATACAAAGAAAAAAATGGGTTTCTGCAGCAACGGCACTGAAGAGAGTGAACTATATCACGCTCAAATCCACCTCTACAAACACGTGTACAACTTTGTCAGCTCTATGGCTCTCAAGTCCGCCATGGAACTAGGCATAGCGGACGCAATCCACAGCCACGGAGAACCCATGACCCTTTTCGAGTTGGCATCTGCACTGAAACTGCACCACTCCAAAGTCTGTGTTCTCCACCGCTTCCTGCGCCTTCTGACCCACAACGGGTTCTTCACCAAAACAACTGTGGCGTCACGTAAAGAAGGAGGAGGAGGAGGAGAAGAAGAAACAGTGTATGATCTCACCCCTCCTTCCACGCTTCTAATCCGAAGCAAGTCAACGTGTTTGGCACCCATAGTTAAGGGTGCACTTCATTCGAGTTCCCTCGACATGTGGCACTTCTCCGAGAAGTGGTTCACTGAGGATAAGGAGCTCACACTGTATGAGAGTGCCACGGGGGAGAGTTTCTGGGGCTTTTTGAACAAAGCCACTGAGTCTGATACGCTTGGCATGTTTCAAGACGCCATGGCAGCAGATTCTAGAATGTTCAAGATGGCTCTGGAAGAGTGCAAGCATGTGTTTGAGGGATTGGGTTCCCTTGTCGATGTGGGTGGCGGGAATGGTGCTCTCACCAGGCTCATCAATGAAGCCTTCCCTCACCTTAAATGCACGGTGTTTGATCAACCACATGTTGTGGCTAATTTGACTGGAACTGAAAATTTAAACTTTGTAGGTGGAGATATGTTCAAATCCATCCCTTCTGCTGATGCAGTTTTACTCAAGGTATTAATCTAATCTAAATTACATTTTTTTCTTTTATATTTTCGTTTAAATTTTAATTTAGTTTATATTGCTTGAAAAATTTAATCTGACATGATCTTTCAGATTTGGTTCACTCTATCCCATGTCAACTTTGGATGGAAGAGATGTTTCTACTGTATTTAGCAGCAGTTATCATTGGTTTTAACTGCAGTAATTACATGATGAATTAAGTTAAATTTCAAATCTAAAAATCAGAACAATTCCAAGGCTTTATTATTATTATTATTATTATTATTATTATTATTATTATTATTATTATTATTATTATTATTATTATTATTATTTTCTATTATTATATAATTCTTAAATATAATACACAATTTTAATCGTAAAAAATAGTAAAAATTATATTAGAAAGTTAAAAAAAATTATTTTAATAATATTAATTGTATTTCTTAATTTATATGCAACTTGACAAAATGAACATAAGATTATATATCCTTTTATAGTATAATTTGAAAATAAATAAATAAATAAATAAATAAATATTTAAATCAACAGAAATATATACTATTTTGTTACAAATTCTTTTATTAAAAGTACTTTGGAGTAAAAGTATTCAAAACATAAAAATAAGCATTCTTTAATGACGGGGTTAAAGAAAATAGTTTATTACACGGATATATTAAAGAAAAATATTCTGAACTTTTATTTGTAATTTTTCACAATCGCGATGGAAATGCTAGTGTGACTATAATTAGAAAGGTTATATATAAATATAAGTAAACTTTGTATGTAAAAGTTACTAAATTTGTGCAAATATAGTATTCATAATTGAAATTTGAATGGTCTTTTGCAGTGGATTCTGCATGATTGGAACGATGAGCTATCAGTGAAGATATTGAAGAAGTGCAAAGAAGCTATTTCTGGTAAAGGGAAAGAAGGAAAGGTGATAATCATAGACATAGCAATTGATGAAACAAATGATGATCGTGAATTGACTGGGTTGAAGCTGGACTATGACTTGGTGATGCTCACCATGTTCAATGGAAAAGAAAGAGAGAGAAAAGAGTGGGAGAAACTTATTTATGATGCAGGCTTCAGCAGCTACAACATTACCCCTATTTGTGGCTTCAAATCTCTTATCCAACTTTATCCTTAGTTAGTAACTTAATACAAGTTGGAATCAATGAGTGATATGGTCCAATATGCTACAGCATATTCTATGTTCTATTTCCATGCTTAAAGTTTTAATATGAAAATCAATCAATAAATGTAACGAATCATAAGCTCTATTTTAATTGTTATCGAAATCATACAATTTCTTTAATATTAACTAGATTCTCTCAGATTTATATATTTTTTTACTTCAGTAAATGGTTAAAAATATAATATTTCACAAGCCTAATAGATCCAGCAAATGACCTTCGTAACGAGTAACAACAAGAGGATTAGGACCAACGAAAGTCCTATGAGAAGACATACCAATGTTGTCAAGCATTAAAGAATTCTACCAAAATTTAGCACGTCACAGTATAGGATATTTGGTATCCCAATTAAGGTTTTCGCTCCCTTATTTCGCTTCAACATTTATGATTTGAAGTTGGGTGGTGTAATATCTAAATAAATTATTTTGTCAGACATAATAATAAAACATGAGACTCTGACCCAAATATTTTAGAAGCAAACACTACAAAAAAATCGTGTATTACGACAGATATTTACCGATGGATTTATAACCGTCGGAAAATAATTATTACCGACAAAAATTACCAATGAATATAAAATATTTGTGGAATTTGATTTTATCGACGGATATATCCATCGGTAAAATAATAATTAGTTACCGACGGATATATCCGTCGATAAATCCGTCGATAATTCTACAGATGAATTTACCGACGGATATATCCGTCGGTAAATTCATCTGTAAATTACTGACAGATATTTCCGTCGGTAAATTAACAATTAGTAAATATTCACCTAATTAAAAAATTAAATATTTTTTATTTAATAATTTAATTTAATCATAATTAGATTAATTTATAATAATTTCTTAAATTAAATAATTTAAAAAAATAAATATTTAATTATATATAAATATATATAAAAATATATAAATATATAAATATATAAAATAAAAATATATAAATATATAAAATAAAAATATATAAATATATAAAAATATAAATATATAAAAATATAAATATATAAAAATATAAATATATAAATATATAAATATATAAATATATAAATATATAAATATATAAATATATAAATATATAAATATATAAATATATAAATATATAAATATATAAATATATAAATATATAAATATATAAATATATAAATATATAAATATATAAATATAATTTATTTGTAATTAAAGGCTTTAAAAATGTAATAGGGAAAAATAATTAATAATAAAAATATAAAGGGAAGGGTATTTTTATAAAATAAATAAGCTATATAAGTAAAATATTTAATAAATAATAAAAATATTACCCACGAATTCCTGTCCGTCGGTAATTTCATAAAACATTTAGCGACAGATATATCCATCGATAATTACCGACGGACTATTAAATCTATTGGTAATATTTACCGACCATCAAATTTCTGACGAATTTTTGGCCGTCCAAAATCCGTCGGTAAATGGAAATTACCGACGGATTTTTGTTATTACCGACGGATTTTGACCATCGGTAATATTAAAATTTCTTGTAGTGAAAGCAAAACAACCCATTAAAAAATGACTTAAGATTAGGTTATAATCAAGTTTATTGGACAAGAAATATAACTTATTAAAAACTAGAGAATTTTGGACAATTACATTTAGGGTGAACTAAGAGGTCCCTTGGATTTTATTTGAAATTGTGTGTCACAACATATTATTTGGAAAAACTATGATTTTAAAAGCTTGGTTATGGTTGACATGCAGTTGAACTTTTAGATCGTTCTTCTACAGGTCAACATCAAAAGAATTACGAAGATAGAATATATTCATCTTTCAGTGAAACACTTGGTGGATAGTCAACTATTAGGACATTTAAATATGAGATTGAAACAACTGTTGTTGGATTTGAGCAATCTGCTTATAGTAGCGAGCATAACTCTAAGGCAAATGACAATGGAGCTGTTAATCAACATTTATTTCGTTAGAACCCTGCCTCGATCAATTCCTCCACGTCCATCTCCACCATCCTCTCCTCAAGACAGAGAACGTGAAAATCATAGCTCTGAGTCAAAAAAGAAAAAAACTAGGAATACATTGTTAATGGATTATCGAAAATGAAGAGGTTTACACTATTCATACTCAAAAACATTTATGGGAAGGTCGCAAGGGTTGTCCCCCACTTGAAAAGGATAGATTTAAGCAATTGATAGGCTAGATCTTTCTAGATGTACAAGTTTATCACATGTCCACTCATCAATTGGACTTCTTAAAAATTTTGCTTTCTTGAACTTTTGAAATTGCTGCAATCCAGTTATCATCACTTTTCTTTGCACAACTAACACGGGTTTTCTGACAGTTTATATCTCAGGTTGTACTAAACTTGAGAGCACGCCAGATTTTATAAGGACAACAAACCTTGTGAGTATCTGGACATGGATCTAACCAATATGTTTTCCCTTCAGCTGGTTGGGATGTCACGAACAAGGGATGGAGAATGTGAAAGACATAGTTCTAAGTCAAAAAAGAAAAAAACTCGAACATATATCTCCACGGTATTCAAATATCTTGATTATACCAACAGTGATGGATCTTCATAGTAATTAAGGGGGGTCATGACCCCCCCAAAGTTTTGTAACTTACTTGTATATTTATGATTTTGACCCCCCCCCAATATTAAATATATCATAAAGAAAAAACTGAAGGAATAAATTAAATAAGAAAGATTAAAAATAATTTTATTATCTGACATTTCTATCTTCTCTCACTTTTTCAAACTCTCTTATTAACGGTAATATTTTATTAGTATTTAATTGTTTCTCTAATTTCTAAAGAATATATTAAATAAGAAAGGTTAAAAGTACTTTTTCATCTTCTCTCACCTTTTCATATTCACTCACAAACGGTAATATTGATTGATTAATATTAAGTTATTTCTGTAGTTTGTACTTTCAAATTCATTGTTCGTCTCTCATCCTCCCTTCTCAGATTCCATACTTGAAATTATATTGATTGATAAAGGTACTTTTTCTTCATCTTTTCACTGTTTATTATATTATTGTTTGTTATTTTGATTTTTGTTGAAGAACATTTGTTGTTTGAGAAAACTGTTTTTGTTTTTTATAAATTTTTATGATTCTACAATTAGAAAATTAATAATAGATTCATTTTTCTCTAGATATGAAGCATAAAAGAATAGATTCATTTTTTAAAAGTGATAAAAGAGATACTTGTAGAGATGAAAACCAAACAAATTCAACATCTTCTCCTCGTTTCAAAGCATGATATTGATGATCCAATTATTCAATTAGAAGAACCCCTTTCTAAGATTCATAGAATTAAAACTAATGAATTTAATATTAATTCTTTGGAGCGTGACCCAGGAAAACGTCTTCAGATACATGAATATCCTTTGAATCAAAGAGATGAAATTAGAAGAGTTTATTTAAATTGGGGTCCATATCAAATACAACTTAAAAACTATCTTTTTTCTAAAGAGAAACATCCTAGGAGATTTCAATATGGTTGGTTTAAAATGTTTCCTTCTTGGTTAGAGTATTCTCCAACTAGTGATGGAGCTTATTGTTTGCCATGTTATCTATTTAGTACACTGTCAAATGGTCGTCCTGGGGCGAGATGTGTTTATTAGACAAGGATTTAGATCATGGAAAAAGGTTAATTCAGGAAAGAATTGTGCGTTTCTTAGTCATATTGGAGATAGTCCTTGTTCACCACATAACAATGCAATAAAAACATGTACAGACTTATTGAATCAATCTAAGCACATTGACAACATTATAAATGTGCAAAATTCAGAAGAAGTTTGCAAAAATTGTTTACGGCTTAAAACTTCTATTGATACAATTCGTTGGTTAGCATTTCAAGCTTGTGCATTTAGAGGCCATGATGAAACTCCAGATTCAAGTAATAGAGGTAACTTTCTTGAGATGATTAAACTTTTAGCATCATACAATGATAAAGTAGCACAAGTTGTGTTAGAAAATGCTCCTTATAATTCAAAATATACTTCTCATCATATTCAAAAGGAAATTTTGCAAATTTTTTCTAGAAAAGTAAGAAATTATATTCGTGAAGAAATTGGTGACTCAAAATTTTGTATAATTGTTGATGAAGCTCGTGATGAATCTAGAAGAGAACAAATGGCTATTGTTTTGAGATTTGTAGATAAAATGGGTAATATTAAAGAGCGCTTTTTTGATATTGTGCATGTTAAGGATACTATACAACTGCTACTCTTAAAAGAGAATTATGTGTTGTTCTCTCTAGACATAATCTTGATGTTTCCAATATTCGTGGGCAAGGATATGATAGTGCTAGTAATATGAGAGGAGAATGGAATGGATTACAAGCATTATTTCTTCATGATAATCCTTATGCTTATTATGTACATTGTTTTGCTCATACATTACAACTTGCTTTGGTTGCTGCTTCAAGAGAAGTTATTCCAGTTCATCAATTTTTTTCAAATTTGGCTTTTATTATAAATGTTGTTTGTTCATCTAGTAAACGTCATGATGAATTACAAAGTGCAGAATTAGATGAAATAGAAAAATTGTTAGAACTTGGTGAACTTGAAACTGGTAAAGGAAAAAATCAAATTGGCACTTTAAAACGAGTTGGTGATACTCGTTGGAGTTCACATTTTCATTCCATTTGTAGTATGATAAAATTGTGTAGTGCATCTTGTTTAGTTCTCCAAAAAATTATAATTGATGGTTCAACTTATTCTCAAAGGGGTGATGCTGATGCTGCTTATAATATTTTGTCTAAGTTTGAGTTTGTATTGATTTTACACATGATGAAAGAAATTATGGGAATTACTGATTGTCTTTGTCAAGCTTTACAGAAACAATCTCAGGATATACATAATGTTATGCAGTTAGTCTATTCGACTAAAATTTTGATTCAAAAATTAAGAGAAGAAGGTTGGCAAGATTTGTTGAAAGATGTAATATTGTTTTGTGAAC